AGAATCTAAATAACGGTGTTCTCAATGTGACCAAAGCTTGTATCACCATATCAATACTTATCGTTTAACACCGGTTCACGACATTTTCTCTGAGCATTCATAATAAAAATTTGTTTTCGTTGATTTTAACATTGCAAGAGTTCAACAATTTCACGGTTTGATGTGAATGGTGAAAAATTATTCTAAAACTGTTATGTTGATAAGAACGAAAGCTGACCAGGCATGCTCATCTCTTGACTTGGCCCAGTAAGCGTTCCTACTGTATCATCTAAAAGGAACGATGTCGAAGAATCCATAGTCGTGTCCGCAGCGATTCCTTTCGAGAATGAGCGGTAGACAAGAATAGTCATGAACTGGATGTGTTCAACTAAAATTCAGTCTTTGAGTCATTGACACCCTCTCATATAACAAAAAAGGCACATAAGGAGAGATGAATATACCTGCTTCTTTGACAGTAACAAGTCCAAGAGGAAATAAGAGCCGATGGAACGACAGCGCGCAAATTCGACCATGTTTGATGAGAAATGCTATGCGCTTCATTCGCTCATTCCTGTCAACGCGCTTAGGGTCTGGGAAGAATGACTGGAAGCACAATAAACCACGTTTGAGGAGAACTAGCATTACCTGAAGCTGATTTTTTCTAACATACCTTGAAGATAAGCGGAACGATCTGACGACGGACACTTTCAGAGGTTTCGATCTGTAGGCGAGCCAATACTTCTTCCATGGGTACCACATCAAAGAACTAGAACAACAACTTCAGAAATACAGATGCAAAGCTGATCTTAGACTACTGATAAAAGCGCCTCACTGAGGCAATACGGGATGCTAAAAGCCTCGATAGTTGCGGCAAAAAGGAAGAGAGTCGTCTTTCGAAACAGCTTTATCCTTACCCTTATGTAGCGATGTCCTTTGAGCAACTTCAGCATTTCGAATGCAGCCATCCTTACTCTCTCGTTCTTATCGTTGATGCCATTGAGCGAAATGCACTTCAAAGCATGTTCAGCAGCATTCAAGCAGGCGGGAACAGTGATTAGGTATCGCATACCCTGCAAAGTTGAACCCCGCAAAACTTAGGTAATTCCAACTACGCAGAGTTCAGAGCAAGCAAAGAAACAAAAAAACACAAAAATCAAAATAGGAAGAGATGCACAAAAAACCCAGAAACAGTGTTCATAAAGTATACCTCGTAAACGGCCAAGCGCACAGCGATTACGGTATCGCGAGATAGTACATCAACAATCTGTAGGGATAGAATTGTAGTTGATTAGTGTAAGATATCAATACTTACGAAAGTCATATACTGCTTGATAAAGTCGCGAGGAATGAAGTTCCAGAACGTGCTAAGTATCTTCAACACCTTAAACGAAAAAATTAGAACAAGTGATGGCGAGATGGGAGGAATCAAACCCTTTTCGCGGCCATCGTCCTGATTGGAGTGCATTCATCTTTCAACATGTTCATCATGGAAGAGTGCTGCTTGTATAAGCATTCATCCTTTTTCTGAACAGTGAAAATTGAGCAAAAATCTCAGACAGCAAGAAAAAAGTCTCACAAAATCGTCTTCATCTATCAAAGGATAAAATCCCAGCAGAACAGTAGAAGCAGAGTAACGCACCATGTCGTTGCATGACTACAAAAATTCTCTTGGGAAAAAGTGATTTGCAAAAAATAATTAAAACATACATCAATGCCGATCCACAGCACTGAATCAAAACATCTCACGAGCATTCCATCAACTCTGGCTTTTTCGGCATTTGTTCCAGAAAAAGCAGAGAGGACCTAAATCTCATGGAAGAGCAAATGTGGAAGACGGTTATTCAAAGACTCACATGCATAAATTTCGCTGAAAGATTGACTGGTAGAAGTACAGCAGCATGAAGAGTTCCCGTGATCATTTCGACTTC